TGGGGGTATGGGGGCAGTGTGTATGGGGGGCTGTGGGGGCAGTGTGTATGGGGGCTATGGTAGCAGTGTGTATGGGGGCATGTGGGGGCAGTTTGTTTGGTGGGGCAGTGTGTATGGGGGACTGTGGGGCAGTGTGTATGGGGGCAGTGTAAAACAAATGTTTTTTTATTTTTTTTAATTGATAAAATATTATTTATAATCCCCCCTCCCTTCCTACCTTTGCCCAGGGAGGGGGGATATCGCTTGTAAAACCCTGGTGGTCCGGTGGAATCCCTGGTGGTCCAGTGGTGAGAGTGAACTCTAGCCTGCAGCTCGTGAGGCTAGAGTTCACTCTTGCGAGAACAGAGCGTTGCCATGGTAACCGCGGCAACACTCCGTTCTCGCGAGAGGAGACCCGGCGGAGCTGCAGGCTAGAGCTCCTCCCGGATCTCCTCTCTCCGTCCTGGCTGCCCAGTAATATGCCTGCGGACCGATGAGGGAGATCTCTGATCTCCACTCCGGTCCGTGAAGGCACTTTGCAGGGCCGGCGCATGGACAGCACCGGCCCTGCAGGAGAGAGTATTGGCTCTCGGGGGGGGCAATTGCCCCGTGGCCCCCCCCTGGATCCGCCACTGGATGTACAGAAAAAAAACAAAAAAATTGTACTTTTCCAATGCTGAGCCTCCCTCGGCACTGCTCACCTCTCCGGCTCCAGTGACGTCAAGGAAGAGGCATGACCTTCTCTGCAATAGTCCAATCCAATCCTCTGTAGGGGAGCATTGGGGACCAAATTCCCCGTGCGCGGTGAGTGCCACACACATTCAATCTTCCCAATAGGAAAGCATTAAATCAAAGTTTTTTTTTTGGTTAGTGCAGTGGAAGTGACTCTAATACTGACAGCCATTAGAGGTGGACTAAACCCTGCAATGTAAAATGCTGCAGCTTCTAAAACATGTCAGGGTTAGTACAGTACAGGGCCTCTGCACCCAGACAACAACTTTATTGAGTACTATAGAGTCTCTTTAATTTTCCATTATTAAAAATAACTCTACAGACGTGTTTTCAGAGGTAAAGTAAGAAATAAATTAGGAAACAAAAATAGATTAACACATTTGCAAACATTATAAAAGAAACAAGAGAACAGCAAAGCATTAACTAAAATAATGCTAATGCTGGTGGGAGTCAGAGCTCCCACTCTGACTCCCTCCTCTCCTCCTGCGCAGCGCTCTGTTGGCTGGGAGGAAGTGACGGTTGCACTCTTAAAGCGCCGCAGCGCTTACCGGGCCCCAGGTAATCCATTGCTATCGGGTGGCCGCAAGAGCATGGACCACCTGATGGGCTCCTTCAATGCGGCCCTGGAGTTTTTTTCCACGCGGTCGGTGCCGCACCAAAACGCTGGTGGGCACCCCTGGAATGACGGGCCCTGGAATGACGGGCCCTGTCGCAGCTGTGACCCCTGCGACCACGGTAGTTCCGTGAGTGCCGCCCACCCCATCCTACATTTCCTAGTTTAGGGCTAGCAACTTTTATCATTAAGTGGCCCATTATCACTGTCCCAGTGGTTTGATTTTAAGTATTGTTATAATTTTTTATACTGTGTTTTACACACACACAAAAAACATTTTATTTTGCTCAGCCAGACAGTAACACTGTAAAACACAGACCCACTCATAGTCCCAAGACAAGACAATATTTCAGTCACACAGTGAGTATAAACAAATGTCCACTGACAGTCACACAGTAAAACACATTGATCTATGCGCAGGTAAACAGTAAAACTTGCTGATCACTGGTGGCACACAGTAAGACACACACTGTCAGCCCCATGCACTGAGTTAGATATAAAGCACAGCAGTGCAGCAGTGTGCCCTCATATCATTATGAATATTGCTATAACGGCAGCATGCTTGTTTCAAAGCATCGTTAATAGTATCTTTCTAATGCACTTAAACGCCTACATTTTAAAGTGAATCTTCTAGAGAACATCCCAATTTAACACTTAATAACTTGGCAAGATTACATAATTTGGTTTGCTCTCTTTTCCTTAAAGGCATGTATACAGTGCCAGTGGATATGCATTCTGTGCAGTTGTGACATTTTACCATGCAACGTGGTGTCATCTCCACTGCGTATTACACTCCTCCCATATTTAGGATTTGTGGTGGGTAAATTCTGGGAGTTACACAGCAATAAAGATGTACCCCAAAACAGCACGTGGCCAAATGATGGAGCTAATGAATAGAGTTCCCTGGTACAAGATTTGTTTTTGTGCCACCTGTAGATCAGGGATGGCCAAAAGGTAGATCCTCAACTGTTGTACAAGTCCTATGATTTAACATTGGATGTACTATTTTCCCAATCCTTGTATGGTTGTATTTTTGTGCAATGTCTGTGTGTTTGAATGCAGAGGTGGGTTTATACAGAATATATGTGTAACAATGCTGGAGTGTATTTGTGTGTAGTTAGGGTGTTAAATAAAGGTGTGCAGTGTTGGTGTTTGAATAAAGAGATGGATTCACATACACACATACAAAATCACAGATGTACATACCCAGGCACACTACCACGAACAGAGATGCACACACACACTGGCATACAGAGTCAAACAATGCCAGACACATCCCGCCACACCTAATAACACACAAACAATGAATAATGAAAATGCCACTCATTTTCACACCTTTTTGTGGCTTCCCTGGCCCTTCAGTAGGAGTAGGACTCTACACCTTATCGGGTTCCTTATGCAGCTACATGTTTGAACAGGGAATAAGCAAAGTGTACGTGCCCCAAAGTAACCTGGACCAAGTTGTTCCAATCTGTCAGGGGCTGAGGCTGGTGCCCTGTTAAATGTGGCACGGTTTAGAAAGATATTTCTATCAACCCAACAGACAACACTATGTTAAAGGGTTCCAGCAGTTGACCAGGCCATGCTTAGAGAATTGGCTCTTATGCCCTGATAGCAACCCTGAATGTAAAGTTCACCTAATAGGCCCCGCTACCTTGTTGGCTCTGGTGTATCAGCACTGGCCGCATCACCAGATGTTCCACCTTTTGTGCTTTTAGTGTCTATAAACACTAGAGAATAGAAGGATTCAGACACTTAAAATCTCTGCTCTGCCATTTGGTGCAGAAAACAACATAAAAAAATGAAACATTCTACAACTTCCTGCAGAATGTACCATGATATATTGAAACTTGGTAGGGCAGGTATATTATAGTATAGTCCCCAGAAGGTATGATAGCTGTGATCTAGGGAAGTTCTATGAGGTATTAGGAAGTTCTGCCTTGTGCCCAGCAGCTTGGACGTGATAGTTCTGTTGTATGTGTAGTTCTTCAAATTCCAGACATTGTATGTGAGATTCTGCTCAATGCTCGGCAGGGTGCACTATTTTGGACAATTTTCCTGCTAACGGATCCACTTTTAGAATATAGAAACAAAATCTTTGTCCAATAAATGGCCTATACCAGGGGTGCCCAAGAGTTAGATCCCCAGATGTTGTAGAACTACAACTCCCATGATTCTCTGCATTCCTTCAAAATGCCTTTAGAATGTCAAAGCATCATGGAAACTATAGTTTAACCCCTTAAGGACCAAACTTCTGGAATAAAAGGGAATCATGACATGTCATGTGTCCTTAAGGGGTTAAACATCTGGGGATCTACCTTTTGCGCTCCCCTGCCCTATGCTACAGCTGCTTGAATTCAGGCGCATGTTTGTCGGTGCCCGGCAGGTGGCGGTGTTGTCATGAGTCAAGCTACAGTAGCGCTCAGCGCTCGACAGGTGGCACAATGATCGCGCCGAGTCCGGGTGCATTGCCTACTAAGTGCCCAGCAGGTGGCGCCGTAACATCGCATGTCTGACATGCCTTCCGCAGACACCCGATCATAGACAGGGCGCTCTCTCTCTCTCCCCCCACCCGCGTCGTTGGTTGTAGTTTCCGGTCTCTGAGCCGGAAGTAGCGCTGTGTTGCCCGGTTGCCGTTCTAGTAGTGTGCGAGCTGTGCCCGGACCCGAAGCCGAGATGCCGCTGGAGAACCTGGAGGAGGAAGGGCTACCGAAAAACCCGGACCTGCGGATCGCGCAGCTCAAATTCCTGCTCAGCCACCCGGAGCCATGCGGGGAGCCGGCCATCAAAGCGGAGCTCATGGAGGCCGTGACCCGGAATAGTGAGTGTCCGCCCCGGGGAGAGAGAGAGAGAGAGAGAGAGAGAGGGGGGACCCGGCACCGGCCAGCCAGCCGGGGGGAGACATGGCGGCGCTGTGCTCGGTCACCGGCCTGGCTCAGCTGGGCCCCTGCCGGCTGCCATTTATTGCTGAGTAATGCGGGAGCTCTGCCTCCTCCTCCTCCATGATAATCCCCCCCCCCCCGGGGACACCGTGTCAGTGTGTGAGCCGGGATACAATGAAAGTACTGAGAACCTGCACACACAGCGAGTACCGAGCCGCCATTAATCAGAGTATTCACAGACAGTGACAAGGCAATAGCACCCAGGGATATATTATTATATTATTATAGGATATATATTGCTTATAGCGTCCTGGAATATACTTAAAAAATAAATAAATCTCAATGCCCTCTTCCTGGTCCAACACATTTTAATTAAAAACAAAAACACAATAGTCAAGTCTTCACAATGGGCCGCTTACATTTACTTCAGAATAACATATGGATAGGTGAATTGCATTAGTGCCCACAGCTATTTCTGTAGGTGTAACCATCAGTAGTACGTTGTTTAACCCCTTAAGGACCAAACTTCTGGAATAAAAGGGAATCATGACATGTCACACATGTCATGTGTCCTTAAGGGATTAAACCCAAAGAAAACACAGATAAAATAGTGTTTTTAAAAAATGCATAAACCTCCACAAGTCACACCTGTGCTAATCTATATGCCAGAGAGCATGTGTTTCAGCTTTTAAGCACATTGTGTGTTCATTGACACAAGATATGGCTATTGTTGAGAAAATAATCAGATGGAAAGCAGGTACTTGTTAATTTAACCCACACCAGATGCCTGGGGGATTTGTCCTTACAAAGCTGACACACTTCCTTATAGCAATACTGTTTCATACCTGCAATGGACACTGTGATAGGCTGAAAGCGGTCAGCTGACATTCTCATCTAACCAGAGTTGCCCATTGCTGCTCAATTTATTGCTTCCTTATCAGCCTGAGCATAACAATGGCACCAGGGGACATCATACACTATAACCACTTTAATGAGATGAAGCTGGTACAGTTAGGGGCATTAAAGTGACACTCCACTGCTAAAAAAAAAAAAAAAATGTTTACTAGATATACCCCCAGTAAAAACATGCAAATGTTTATGCATTTTTTCATATTATATAGGACCTTTAGGGGTCTGGAGTGTCCTTTAAAGGTAGAGGAGGAATTGGGGAGTTTTAAGCATCCAGGGTTAGGATCTGTGTTAGGAAGAGTTTAGAATGGGGAGGAAGGGTAGTGTTGGGGACCTCAGGCAGCAGAGTGTGCTATCACACATGCTCTCTAGTCATGATTGTGGCTGGAACTGTAGGGAGAAAAGAGTGTTGATGAAATTAATCACTAGTGCAACTATTGGTTGTAATGTTAACAAGTACACTATAATTTTACAGTACCAGTCAAGTCCCCCCCCAGCACAATACAGCATGAAAGAAGCTGTTTCAATTAGTACAAATATTGAAATTTCAATCACTTCTAAACTTCTCCCTGTTATATCCTGGCAGATATGTCACCTTTCTATGAAAGCCTGTGCAAACAACTGGACTGGTCACTAGACACAGACCTACTAAACAAAATGAAGAAGGCTAATGAAGAAGAGCTAAAGAGGCTAGATGATGAGCTGGAGGACGCAGAGAAAAACCTTGGCGAAAGTGAGATTAGAGATGCCATGATGGCAAAGGCTGAATACCTCTGTAGAATTGGTGATAAGGTAAGCCTTGTGAATGTTACTACTTCTGACCACCTTTACTAAAGGAACACTCTAAACACAATGGCCATTACAGCTTGTTGTTGTAGTTATAATGTAGAGTCTTTGTTGTCTAGAATTCAAAGTGAATTTTAAAATGTGGGCCAGAATAGATGGACCAAGAACATAGCTGAATTTTCCTCTTTTGCTATTTCGGCCTAAAATTTGAGATAAAGTTAATTTAACATCTTCTGTGTTTGTTAAACAAGACCTGTTCAAAATCACGTTAAAAAGAATTATAACCCCCAGGCTCTGACAACTATTGTTTATTTTTCTGCATTCATCAGGAATTTTATAGCATAATATCCTACTAATAGATGTTTCTTTCCAAGAGAAATGCAGCACACACATATCATTCCAGTAATCAAACAGGGAAAGGTAACTGATACACTGTTAACCATGATTAACTAAAAATAAGAACAAAATGGTGTACATATGGATGGTTTTTATGTGAAGAGTGGAGTAAGGACAACTTTCTATTGAATGCATCTTTGCAGTTGTGATGTATATAGTTGTAAATAATTTCTACAAATTCATTAATATGCTCTATATTTTAAGAAAATAACAAACATATGTTATAGTATCACCTTAGGGCAGGGGTCCTCAAACTGTGGCCCTCCAGATGTTGCTGAACTACAACTCCCATGATTCTTTGAATTACATAGGTAGCCAGAGAATCATGGGAGTTGTAGTTCAGCAACATCTGGGGGGGGGGCTGGAGTTTGAGGACCCCTGCTTTAGGGTTTCATTCATTAATCTGCATGTGCCTCTGAGATTCAGGTCGCACTGACTCTTTATTGTGAACAGAATAAGAGACTTTACTGAGTAGAACATGCAGTGATAAAATTAGCATATTGGTGTAGTGAAGAACCTTCTATAAATCTGTTTTATATTGCCATTCACTTGTAGTGTTAGAGTTGTTGTATTGATTTAGAATCCTGATGGGACCTTGTATTTTAGGAAGGGGCACTGACAGCATTCAGAAAAACGTACGATAAGACCGTGGCACTAGGACATCGACTGGATATAGTGTTTTACCTCCTGAGAATTGGCTTGTTTTATATGGACAATGACCTGATTACGAGGAACACTGAGAAGGCCAGAAGGTATGGTTCAAGCTTTAACTTTGTTTTGTAATCACTTCATACGATACAAGCTAATGCACCCAGTATTACACTGTACATACTGTTGTACTGTTATGTTAACTAGTTCTTGTGATAAAATATTGTGCTCTTATCCTTTTTAAAAGTCTCATTGAGGAAGGTGGTGACTGGGACAGGAGGAATCGTTTGAAAGTTTACCAAGGCCTTTACTGCGTTGCCATCCGAGACTTCAAGCAAGCAGCTGAACTCTTCCTGGATACAGTGTCAACATTTACTTCCTATGAGTTGATGGATTATAAAACCTTTGTTACGTACACTGTTTACGTCAGTATGATAGCACTCGATCGACCAGACCTAAGAGAAAAGGTACTAGTTTTAGCCTGTGCCTGGAAATCGTAAAAGGTTAATACCATGAGTTGGAATTTCTTTGAAGAATCACAAGTCAACTTTAAAGGAGCACTATAGCGTCAGGAACACAAACCTGTATTTCTGACCCTATAGGGTTAAAACCACCATATAGCCCCCATGTCCCCCCTCATACCTCCCTAAATATAGTAACATCTTACTTGTATTCAAGTCTGGAGCTGGTGGCTTTGTCTCTATTTACTTTTGACCTGCACACTGCCTTCTGACATCATCAGAAATGGTGTTCTGAGCCAATGACAATGCTTCCTCATAGGATTGGCTGAGACTGACAAGGAGGCAGATCAGGAGCAGAGCCAGCACAATTCAAACACAGCCCTGGTCAATCAGCATCTCCTCATAGAGATGAATTGAAGAAGTGAATATCTACGAGGAAAGTTCAGTGTCTGAATGCAGAGGGAGGAGATACTGAATGTTTGGATGCATTTTAGGCAGCTATGACCCAGGAAGGATCTCTAACAGCCGTCTGAGGAGTGGCCAGTGAAGTTATCACTAGGCTTTAATGTAAACACTGCATTTTCTCTTCTCTACTCACGAGAACAAATTCAATAGTTGTTCTGGTGACTATAGTGTCACGTTTTGCTACTGAAAGTCTGTTTATTGAACCTTCTATAAAATAATTTGTTTCAAGATATTTCTCTATATATATGTCTCTGCTCCGGAGATATGTTAGCAACATATTAAAATATGTTCTGTTTATTTTAGAAAAAGTATTTTCAAAATTAAAATAATGAAAATATTTAAACTTAGTGTAAATGTCCATTTTTGTCCAGTATTTCACAAATTATGTGTGTTAATTTAAAGAAAGGAGGTACAATTAAGCCAAAAATGAGTTCACTCTGTCACCCAAACTTCATATTTCGGTATATGCAGCCAGAGTGTGTGGATTCAATGGGAGATTTAGAAATATCGGCCTTATTGAAACATCGCCCACCTATACATGTGTGCAGGGATAGGGAACAGGTAGTTATCCATCTTTGGACATACGAATTCTTAATGTTTACAGTGTTGGTAACTGTATTTGTGTTCTGATTTTTATAAATCATGCTCATTCAGGGCATTGATCAGCTACTTTAGCACCCAGCTCTTTGGTATTTTGTTCCATCAATTCTTTCTATTTGTTTTTAAAAAGAATTGTCATTTCAGGTTATCAAAGGTGCAGAGATTCTGGAAGTGTTGCACAGTTTACCCTCTGTCCGACAGTACCTTTTCTCTCTCTATGAATGTCGGTATTCGGTTTTCTTCCAGTCATTAGGTAAGGGATTCTACCTATATTCAGTGAAAACCATGCTGGATTTGTACATAATTTAAAAGTTACAAGCACAGTAAATGAACCTCCTCTAATCAAGAATGGTATGCTTCTGTATATAAAATAAATTTTCACCTGCAACATAAAATATACCATTGCTTAAGATTCTTAAGTAAATTATACTTGACATGATCCTGCACTACTAACCTCTGTGGCATATGTTAAATTGATTTATCTTTCTCTATTATAGCTACTGTAGAGCAGGAAATGAAAAAGGACTGGTTGTTTGCCCCTCACTATCGCTACTATGTTAGAGAGATGCGGATCCAAGCCTACAGCCAGCTGTTAGAATCATACAGGTCGCTGACGCTCGGATACATGGCTGAAGCTTTTGGCGTTGGTGTTGAGTTTATTGATCAGTACGTTTTTGTGTTAATCTTCATTTTTCTATCTATGAATGTGTACACTGGAGTATTATTCACAAAATGGTTATGGATACACATAAATTAAATATTTTTTTGGTGGGAGGTGGGGTTTGTTAAGTTTGTTATCAAGTCACTAGAGCTGTTAATGCCAGTTTGTTCCAGGCAAAATACTTGGGATATATAAATCAGTCACATTCAGTAGGACTTGCAGAAGGGTAGAAATTTATTATTGTGTGGGAAAAGCAGAAATTTTACTTAAATATTTTTTTCCTTAATATAGTGGCAGTACCAATGGGTTTGTATCCTCTTAAAGGACAAGCCGACTGTCAATAAATAAAATAAAAATTGAAAAAGTCCCTCCTCTTTCCCCTTTAAAACCCCGGACTTACCCAAGGACCGTCCGTAAATGAAAAGAAAAGACACAATAGGCTACATCATGCTCAATATAAATTTATTATCAAAAGAGGGAGGGAATTGTACTGCCACTATATTAAGGAAAAGAGAATTTACGGTAAGTCAAATTTCAGTTTTTCCTGGCATATAGTGGCAGAACAAGTGGGATATAACAAGATCCCTGGAACATTAAAAGGGTGGGTCTCAACGAACTACAGCTTGCAGCACCTTGCGCCCAAAAGCAGCCTCAGAGGACGAGAAGATGTCTAGCCGATAGTGCTTGATGAAGGTCTGAAAAGAGGACCAAGTTGCCGCTTTGCAGATGTTGGATTTTTCAGCCCATAAAGTGGACATAGCTCTGGTTGAGTGCACTCTAATGGAGGAAGGTAATTGAATATTGTGCAATTCATAAGCCAACTTGGTGTCCGTTAACCACCTCGCCAGAGTGGGTTTAGATGCTCCCATACCTTTATTTCCCTGAAAATTAATAAACCAGTAATCTGAGGACCTAAATTTTTCTGAATGAGATAAGTAAATTAGAAGTGCTCTACGAACATCCAGATTATGCCACTTCCATTCTTGATCCGAACTACAGAATGATGGAAGTACCAGAGGTTCATTAAGAGATTTTCTTGAAAGAACTTTCAGTGAAAAGACTTAATATGTAGCACAACCTTGTCCTGATGGGAAAATCGTGAATTCCGACACAGAGGAAAGGGCTTGAATCTCCCCAATTCTTCTAGCTGAGGTAATTGCTACCAGGAAAATAGTATTGAGCGACAGAATTCTTAATGATACACCTTCAAGTGGTTCAAATGGAGCTTCACATAAAGACTGTAGCACCAGAGATAAATCCCAGGAAGGGGATTTAAATTTTCGAGGTGGTCTTTGTAGAAGAATGGACTTGAAGAAACGCCTAATCTGCAGACATGTTGCAAACTCTTGTAGCAAAAAATGGCTGAGGGCTGCAGTGTGAACCTTTTAAAGTATAGAAACAGAGACCCTTTTCAAAACCTTCTTGCAGAAACTGAAGAATTGTCTTAACAGAGGGACTGCAATAAAATAATTATGCTGAACGCACCAATAGAGAATTTTTTTCCAAATCCTCAAATCGATAGTAGACGTAGAAGCACTGGTGGAGTTTAGAATAGTGTGCAACATGTTACATGGAATGCCTTTGGTTCTCCAGGATTAACCTTGCAACAATCTGTCAATCTGAACATGCAAATTGTTTTTTTCCGGGAGAACGACATTATCCAGGAGTTGATCTGAGAATGGAAGCTCCCAGTAGTCCAGTACCATAAGTCGCAATTCTGAGAACTAGCTCTGGTTTGGCCAGTATGGGAGGACAGCAATCACTCGAGATTGTTATGCCTTGATCTTCTGCAAAGTTCCCGGGATCATTTGTATAGGAGGAAAAAGGAATGCCAGGGGATCAACATGCTGTCCAGTACCTGAAGGTTGTCCTGTCTGAACAGTGAAGCAAACTTCTGCACTTTTCTGTTCTTTCTCCTTGCCATTCAATCTATTACCGGAAGGCCGAATCTTTTCACTATTTTTGAGAAGACTTGAGGGTGTGGAGACCAATTTGTTTGTGACATTTGTTCCTGCTGAGGTCATCTGCTACCACATTTTGTTCGCCTTTTATGTGAACCGCCGAAATAGATTCCAGGTGCCTCTGTGGCCACATCATAATCTCCCCCACAAAGAACATGCAGGCCTCTGATTCTTGTACCTCCCTGACGGTTGATATAAGCCACTGTCGTTGATATTCTTTAGGTCCAGAATAGGTCTGACAGACTGATCTGGCTTTGGGATCAGGAAGAATCTGGAATATACCCCTTTACCTTCCGGACATCTTATCACTCTTTCTGTCACACCCTTTTTAACAGTGCCATAGCTTCTGAGTAAAGAGCTTCCTTTTTCTTTTGAGATTGGTAAAAAGACATGAGAAAACAGGGGTTCAGAGTTTCTGAAAACTTGACTTTGTAGCCCTCTTTTATGACACCCAGAATCCATGGGTTTGATGTTGATTCTTCCCATGTTTTGTAAAAATGTTGTAGACGTCCACCTACTGTGGTGTCAGAACCTCTTCTTTTTGTCTTGTTTTGCTAGAGTTTGACTTGAAACTTGTAGTCTCTTGTTGGTTTTTCGAAAAAAAACGATTCCTCTCAAACTTCCCAGATATTCTAGGCTGGTATTGGAATCTTTTATAATTTGGCGTATATCTATGTTCCTGAGTTAAAGCCTTTTTCGTGTTAGACGTTTATTTAATAATTTCTTCTAGTTTGGAAACAAACAATTTTTAACTTTCCAGAGGTAGTTCACATAAAGAAGCCTTAGATGCTGTATCAGCAGACCACGAAAGCAGCCATAAAGCTCTTCTGGCCACTGAACCATTGAACGTGCCAACAGTTTTAGGCCTTCCTCAGATACATAAATACATCATCCAACCTTATATTATGTAAAAGTTGAGGAATTTCTTTTTCTGCTCCTTCCATCAGGCAGCTCTCAATTTCTTGAAGCCAAACGTTGTGCTCTCATGACAGATACTCCCGCAATAGCAGCTTTGCTTTGAAAACCTGCTGTTTGGAAGATTCTTCTGCAGGGCGTCTCCGCTTTTCTGTCTATTGGATTTTTAAGACCAGATACTTCACTGTTGGGTAGTGTGGTCTTTTTGGACAGTTGCGCCACTTGTGTATCTACCTTTGCTAGCTGCGCATTTGGAACTCCGGTGGAACACAAGGCGTGTGTTCCACCACCGTGCGCAAGCTCCGAGCTTGCAATTCCATTGACGGAACTCCCGGGACCGCCTATTACTCATTGCCGGTTTCCACACAGAATAAGAAGACATATTTTCCTGAAATACTGATGGTCCTGGGGTAAGTCCGGGGTTTTGATGATGGTGGGGGGGACTATTTACATTTTTATTTTATTTATTGACAGTGGGCTTGTCCATCAAGAGGATACAAACCCACTGGTACTGCCACTATATGCCAGGAAAATACATTTTATAGAAAACATGATATTAAAAATGTTTCAAGTGTAGTACCGAATGCACTACTTATCACTTAATCCAATTAGTTGACATGGGTAGTAGACCAAATAATTTCTCACTAAACTTCCCCATCCTGTCTATTTTTAGACCCTCTTGTGTGAGGAAACATCTTTAGGCATATATATTTTAATCTATTCTTTTGATAAGGAGTTTGACTATAAAATGTATAGGTTATAGGAATGCCTACGTGACTGAACTTGTCATCCACAAATCATGAATGACAAGTTTACTTGAAATAGTTTCACATCCTACTTCTATTTAATTCAGTAAAACAAGTTGATTTGAACTAAAGCTACAAATTAATATTTTCTGTTTGTTTCAGGGAACTTTCCAGGTTTATTGCAGCTGGAAGACTTCATTGCAAAATAGATAAAGTTAATGAAATTGTAGAGACAAACAGGTAATGTTTTCTACTTTGTATGATTTCAGTTTTGGTGCAGTTCAGTACATCATTGTGCATCATTGCCTTTCTTTTTTGTTAACTTTGCAGGCCTGATAGCAAGAACTGGCAGTATCAAGAAACCATAAAGAAAGGTGATCTGTTACTGAACCGTGTCCAGAAACTCTCTCGAGTAATCAACATGTAAACTGTCTCACTTTTAACCAGGGTGAATGAATCCAAGTGGAAGAGGTCTTGTTAGGTCGTGTATAAATATATGGTCTCTATTTACTCAGTATTTTGGGAGATGACTGATGTGTATTTAGGGGTTTTTACAGTTTTACGTTATGTAAACAATCCATTACTTGTAAAACACAAAAAAAAGAAAAACAATTAAAAAAAAAAAATTAAAACATTGTACATGTTCCTTTTTTTATTGGTTATAGTTTTTTCTCTAATTTGTAAAACGGTCATTTAAAGGGACACTCCACTGCCCCCTCCAAAAAAAAAAAATCACTGTTTAGGTAGATATACCACCAATGAAAATATGCATGCATGCATTTAATTAGGCATTTTATCATTATGGTTATATCTAAAAACATTTAGCAAAATATACAGCTCTTGTCTGCTGCCTTTTGGAAGCCCTCCCCTTCTGACCGCACCTAGTCTTTCTGTGGCTGTCCAATCACAGACTTCCCCATGCAGCCTAATGAGAAGTCTTTGCAAAGCAGGTGCTCTGGGCTATTGCTGCCTCTTGAGTTTAGCTCCACTGAGTCTACCAAACCAGGAAGTGACAGGACCTGTCTGCTTGAAAACCCTGAAGCGGTGTAACAAATCAAATTTTAAAAAGTGTCATTTTCTATTGAAATTAACACTTTTTACAAAATGAAAAATTTCTGTCATTTTCGAAAGTTAACCCCAGATCGCGGAGTTAACGGTGCTCCGGTCTGCCTCTGTATTAGAGGCAGACCGGGAGCACCCGATCGGGCTGCCCCAACACCGGTGCTCACTCTGACAGGTTGTCAGAGCGAGCACATGTGCTCAGTATACTCACCTTCCGCCTCCCTGCACTTCCGGGTTCTGTGTGAAGTGCAGGGAGACGGATCAGTGCTGATCTGCTTCCCTGTGTAAAAAAAAAAAAAAATAAAGTTAAATCCCACCCCCCTGCCCCTGTTTTAATAAAATTAACCCCTTCCCTGCCAATTGATCACTGACTACAGTGATCAATTGGCAGGGTATACATTTTAATGTCATCTGATTTTTTTTTTTTAACCCCTGAGGGTTAATAATTTTTTTTTTAACCCTCAGGGGTTAAATTTATTTTATTAATTAATTTAAATATTAAAAAATTATATATTTAGCTAGCTGGGATGGGTGGAAGTTAGTGGGGAATTGGGGAATTTGGTGTTAGGCTAACTAGGGGTTAACTTTAAAAAAGTTTTAAAATAAACTTTAAAAAGGTAAAAAAAAAATGTTTTTGTAACTTTTAAGTTAAAAAAATACCACCCCCCTTTACCCAGTCTAAATAAAAATTAACCCCTTCCCTGCCAGTTGATCACTGCCTACAGTGATCAAAATACAGATCACAGTATTATACTGTAATCTAATTTCTTTTAACCCCTGAGGATCTTTTATTTATTTTTTAACCCTCAGGGGTACAATTTATTTAATTAATTTAAATATTTTATAATTATATATATTTTGTTAGCTGGAGTGGGTGGGAGTTATGGGAAAGGGGGGAATTTACTGTTAGTGCTGCTTACTGCTAGTTAGGGGTTAACGGTAAAAAAGTTAAGTGTAAAACATTTAATAAGTAAAAAAAAAAAGTTTAAAAACAGGTTTTACAAAGTAAAAAAATACATAAAAAAATGCTCATTACCACTACACTTGGTACAAGCTAGATATTGTTTTACTCAGAAGACTTAGCTGAGCATAATTTGGGGGGTTTGAACTTAGTGGCACATATGAAATGTACAAAATGCCCAGCAAAAATGTAATCCATATGTAAAATATGCCCAAAATAATTTTTTACCACATACTTTGGCATATATTGGTGAAAAAATGGTGGCATGTTAAGACACAATATGCACCATATGAGATACCATGGAGTGTCTACTTTTACAAATGGTAGGCCTTTGTGGGTTTTTTTTGAACAGTCAAACTGCTATAATACCCCAAATTGAAGCATAGGCCCATTAAATCCGCCTCTCAAAATTCTACTGTAAATGTTGAAACGGACAGGTCTTCTATATGGCACTGTAGCTTCACGAAATAGTGCCAAAGACATGCAATGGGGGTATCGTTGTACTCGGCAGAAGTAACAGAACACAAAATAAAACATTGTACAGGAATAGCACACACCAACTTTACAAAATACACATGAGAAGTTCTTTGTTATAAGTTTGCGTGCCAAAAAACCTCAATTTTACTCCAATATTTAGCAGAGATTGGCGGTGAAATGGCTACGTAGAAAGTGTCAAAACAACCTTAGGACAATAGCCCCTGTGATGTCTACTTTATATAAATATATACTTTTGTGTGGCAATTTTGTTTTCTTTTATGGCTTATTAAGCTTACAAGACAAACATACCAAATTCTAAAATCACTCCACATTAAAAATTTATTTTACTCCTTCTGCTTTGAGACCTGTAACTACCAAAAAAAAAATTAAAATCCCAGACACATTATATATTCTGTAAATCAGAACTAAATGAATTTATTTTTAATTACTTTCTTTAACCTGCACTAATTAGGCACACATTATTGCAAAAACTGTACAAAATTTTTTTTTTTTTCATTTTTCTGTATTTTTTTTAATAAGCATTTATATATATATATATATATTTTTATATATATATATATTACATCAAATTAAAGCCCTTTCTGTCCTTTAAAAAACAGTATATAATATGTGTCGGTGCAATAAAAGAGAGAGATGCAAATTGCAGTTGAACGCATACAGCAAGAAAATGCAAAAATTGCTTTTGTCATTACAGGAGCACTATAGTGCCAGGAAAACATACGCATACTCTCAGGGTCCCCCTCCCGCCGGGCTGGAGGGAGAGGAAAGGGTTAAAACTTACCTTTTTTCCAGCACCGGGCGGGGAGCTCTCCTCCTCCTCCTCTTCGGCTGGAGGCGCACACGCGGCAGGAGCTGCGCGCACATTCAGCCAGTCTCACAGGAAAGCATTCACAATGCTTTCTTATGGACGCTGGCATCTTCTCACTGTGATTTTCACAGTAAGAAGCACGGAAACGCCTCTAGCGGCTGGCAATAAGACAGCCACTAGAGGCTGGATTAACCCATTTATCAACATAGTTTCTCTGAAACTGCTATGTTTATAGAAGAAAGAGTTAATCCTAGAGAGACCTGGCACCCAGACCACTTCATTAAGCTGAAGTGGTATGGGTGCCTAGAGTGGTCCTTTAAGCGTAAGACAAGCTTCTGAAGCTGTGTCCTTAAGGGGTTAAAGCTTCTTAGCAAGCTGAAGTGCTTTTGGGGTCTAGAGAGTCCCTTTAAAACTTTCATTTAAAGTGTGATATTAGTTGCCTGTTTTTGTTATTCTGAGCTTAACACTCTTTTTTCCGAAGAATGTGTGATGTAAACCTATTTGAGCAGGGTATTCTGTTCCTGTGGATCCAACTTGTCTTGTTGCAAATACTTTTGTTAGTCCACCTATTGTACAGCGCTGCAGAGTTTGTTGGCGCTTTATAAATAATATTTTACATAGTAACACTTCATTTTTGCACTGCAAAAAAAATTATCCCATGAAATCTTTTATCTCTGTTTGATCTGGTACTCAGGGCCGGACTGGCCCACCGGGATACCAGGAAATTTCCCGGTGGGCTGTCGGCACCTGGGGCCGGGCAGACATGTGGGTGTGCTGGAGGAGCAGGGATGGCAGCTGCAGGGGAAGCTGTGCTGGCGGCCGCTGGAGGAGCAGGGATGGCAGCCGCAGGGGAAGCTGTGCTGGCGGCAGCTGGAGGAGCAGGGATGGCAGCCGCAGGGGAAGCTGTGCTGTCTCTGCTCCCAAGCGCGCTACTGAATGAGGCCGGAGCCGGAATATGACGTCATATTCCAGCCCCGGTCTCATTCATTAAAGCGCTGGGGAGCAGAGACAGCACAGCTTCCCCTGCGGCCGCCAGAACAGCTCATCCAGCGGCCGCCATCCCTGCTCCTCCAGCGGCCGCCATCCCAGCTTCTTCTGCGGCCGCCATCCCTGCTCCTCCAGCACACCCACATGTCTGCCCGGCCCCAGGTGCCGACAGCCCACCGGGAAATTTCCTGGTATCCCGGTGGGCCAGTCCGGCCCTGAGTACCAGATCAAACAGAGATAAAAGATTTCATGGGCCGTCATCACACCCAGCTCTCTGCTCTGCATGACCCCCCTGGCTGGTCACCCACAGGTAATGTGTTATGCTGTCAGTGTGTGTGTGTGTCTGTCTGTCTGTCATGGTATGTGTCTCATGGTGTGTGTGTGTCGTGTTATGTGTATGTGTCATGATATGCGTGTCTGTCATGGTGTGTGTGTGTGTGTCTGTGTGTTTGTCATGGTGTATGTGTGTCTGTGTGTGTTTTAAAAATAGTGTTTTTACTCACTTTTTTTTTTTCCCCCACGCCATGCTGGTCTCCCCTCGACTGGCCCTGCCTCTATGGCTGAGATCATCAAGCTTGCCATAGGATTGGCTGCAAAATGCTACACCAATCAGCATCTCCCCATAGAGATGCATTGAATCAATGTATCTCTATGGGGAACCTTCAGCGTCTCCAGAGCGTGGAGGCCCTGAATGTAGGTGCTGCATACTGTGCAGCACTGACACAGGAAGCACCTCTAGTGACCGTCTGAGTGACTGTCACTAGAGTTGTCACTCTAAAGCAATGTAAACAATGCCTTTTCTTTGAAAAGTCAGTATTTACATTGAAAAGCCTGCAGGGACAGGCTATAGACACCAGAACCACTACATTAAGAGGGGTGGGGGGGTGAGATTGTTTGTCTATGAGGCTGTGTATCAACGAACTTGTGTGTGTCAGTGAGGTTGTCTGTGTCTGCATGTGAGTATGCTTACTGTATAATTAAACGTTTTACTATGAAAGGACCAATATTTTATATTAGAAAAAGAAATATATATATATTACTCAATCATCTGGGGTGGCAAGACATAGCCTTACATATTACATGCGACAATATATGGCGCATTGACTTATGGGGCTGGCATATATTTTTTTTTTCAGGCTGCTTTGTATCCCCAGTCCTGCCCTGCTGGTACTGGCTGCATCACCCAAAGAAATAAACTAGCAGCCTGCAATGGAGAATTGGTGTAACTACGTTCTCCATTCCTGGAAAAGGCATCCTGTGCTTACAAATAGACATGTGCAATTTGTTTCAGTCTGAATGTTAATTCTTAC